ACCACTGAACAGCGGACTGTTGTCCGGTCTGCTCCCACAGTGCACTGAAAGATCAGTTGCCCCTCACCTACAGCCCATTAAATGTTTCCGTCGATTCACTGCACTACGGAGGTGTTCACAGACCACGCCAGCTAGACTCCACGCGATATATGAAAAACCGAAGTTTTTTAGGTACGCATAGCAGTCCCCTGCGCAGACGTGAAAGTTTTGGTGGGAGAACTGCCGAAATTCACTGGCTAAGAAAAAAGAACTATTCAAAATGTATTGACTAAGAAAAGAAAAAAAAAAGAAAAAGAAAAAAGAGGCTAAAAAAAGAAAAAAATCACACCCTTCTCCGATACCTTATAAAACCTGACATTAATGTATGTGAATTTGATTTGGTCATAATTCATTTTCAAATCCTAAAATCATGCACTAAAGTAGTGACCTACTTCTTTGGATGGACGATGAAATGGCGTGGTACCATGCGTTCCACAATAATTCCACTACTCAACACTTTGCCTGAAGGCATTTCACCGGAACGCTTCACTCGACTATTTACAAGATAACTGTCCAGAAGGTCAACTGATACAATAGCTACGTCGGCTAAACACCGATATAATCCCTGCAAAAAGAAACTGCAGTCAGTTCAAAGAATGCAAAATTCACCGGGCTCAACTCGTGCTCTAGAAAATCGGCAAAACTCACCAAATCCTGATCATGTAAAACAGAGAGGGTTGAATTGGCCGTGGGAACAACTGCATCTTCTCTCCACCACTCAACATCCATTGCCTCGCCTAAACCAAGCAAACTGGCGTGACATTTTATAGTAACTGTTTCATGCGGCTGCAGTTTGATCACATGAAAATGGGCTGATGTGTAGGCGAACTGTTCTGATTTGTCGCTGTAGACGACCGTGAAAGTAAACAGAACAAGCTGACGACGCGGGTGCTCCTTCAGCTGATAATGATCCACTGTGCTGCAATTGCAAATTCAACTGAATAAATGAACTGGCACTACACATATGTATATATATATATATATATA